AACTCAGTTTGTTATTTACACTATCTTTTCAAGTATTCACACTAGTGCTGGAACCAGAAAATCCTCTTCAATTAATCTTATAAGGGTGATTCCAGGGTACAAGTTGCGTTCAAATATTTGTAAGTGGAAATATCGACAAACAACATCATGAATATGTCTTTTACATTCACTTCAATCAGATAGATAAAATATGTGACATCATCAAACCTTGCGCGTTGTGAGGGTTTCAGAAAAGATGTAGGAGTAGATGGATCCTTTTTCGCCCATCATACTCGTGAAAAATGTTTCTATTTAGGCCATTTTACCGGACAGACCGAAATGAATGATATGGGCTTTCGTGATGTACATGTCATATAACATCCAAAAAACATCATTCTCGAAATTTTTCGCGATTACAATACCTTTTTGCCCAGTGATGTGGGAAGTAAAATTAATATCAAAACATAACTAAAAGTTGAAGCCTGTGTAGTAACTAACATTACAAAAAATGCTCAACTGTGTGAAATTTCCAATTTATATTTTTGGTCCCATTTTGGAGTTCTTTTTATCCCCTATAACTGTTCTGTATACAACGGAGGCACACACTTTTTCAAGATAGTGCATGCTCACCTTTTTAATTCCTTATATACTAAGTGACATATAAATCCGAACACCCAGTTTAAATGGTTTTATTTTAATAAAAGTTGGTGAATGTATTTATCTTACTGTAAATAAAAAGTGAAAAAATTTTCAGCCTTATCAGTTGGACATTCCGGTTTTTATACTGCTTTTTTTTAATTCACTAACGCTCTAAAAATGAATATTTCAGCCGTAGTAAAGAATCAACGTTGGCGGATTTTGGTTCTTGACATCCTTTACGATCGGTTACGATGCCTAGAGTACGGAGACCTGTACGATTTCGTCAACTTAGTGAGTTTGATAGGGGCCGTGTAGTGGGACTTCGGGAAGCTGGACTTTCTTTTCGGGCAATTGCAGTTAGAGTGCAAAGAAGTGTAGACACTGTGGTTAGGTGTTGTCAGGCATGGCTTCGAGAAGGCCGTACGCAAAGAGCAAGGGGCACTGGACGCCGCCGTAGAACAACAGACCGTGAAGATCGCCGCCTAAGATTATTGGCCTTAAGTGACCTTTTCTCCACTACCAGGTCCATTGCAAATGAATCGTTTGCAGAACACGGAAGACCTATTGGCATGCGAAGTGTTTACCGATGAATGAGAAGTTTTGGCTTGTTTTCATACCGGCCACACTGGGTCCTCCCTTTAACTCGAGAACACCGACGTAATCGCCTGGAGTGGTGCAGACAACGGTCACTCTGGGATCAGGAATGGAACAGTATTGTCTTTAGTGACGAGTCTCGATTTTGTTTAGGCATGCACGATGGTCGTGCCAGGGTTAGAAGGCGACGTGGTGAAAGGAGGAATCCACAGTTTTTTGTTGAAAGACATGTTCATCACACTGTTGGAGTTATGGTTTGGGGTATGGTTCCAGGTCACCTTTAATCTTCATCAGAGGTAACATGAACGCGCAGCGTTATATCCACGAAGTTCTAGAACCCCATCTTTTACCCTATCTTGACACCCTGGCAGATCCAACTTTCCAACAAGATAATGCCCGACCACATGTTGCAAGAGTCACAATAGACTTCTTTCAACATAATGATGTCACATTGTTACCATGGCCACCAAGATCTCCCGACTTATCCCCAATTGAGCACGTGTGGGATATGATGGGTAGGAGATTGCTCAATTTGCAACGTCCTCCTCAGACTCTAGAAGCACTTCGAGAGGAGTTGGTGGTTGCCTGGAATGAGATACCTCATTAGGACATTGACCACCTGATCAGAAGCATGCCTAGGCGCGTTGGAGAATGCGTAGCACATCAGGATGCATCCACACATTATTAAAGGTCAAAGGGCTTTAAAGCAGTGCAATCATTTTGAAATTTTTAACATTTACTTATTATGCTTCATTAAGTACTTATACAAAATTTTATTAAAATAAAACCATTTAAACTGGGTGTTCGGATTTGTATCTCACTTAGTATACATGCGTAGGTGCTGATGAGTCTAATACACGCGAATTACTGTTTATAATATTTATATAATATATTATATGATAACCGTAATTCACAAAAGGTTTTTTATTCACAAAAAAATGTTCAGAACATAAATTTCAATCTATTTATTTTGCGGAACAAAATTTGGTGAACAACAAAGCGTTGAATTAACAGTCGATAAAGAAGGAATTTAATACGATCCAAGAATTTGCAATTATAAAGTCTTATTGATTGGAATACAAATAACGAATATGAGTAAAACAAAACTAATTGATGAATCGAACTAAAAAATAATAGTTTGAAAAAACTACGCTTTCTACTCTGAATTGAGTTATTCTGTTAATAACTTAAATTTTATTATAATTTTCTTTTGACGTCATTAATTGTGATTGATTGTTCGAATTTTTAATTTCTTCCCTTCCAAAAGTTTGCTGTCCAAAAACATAGAAGTGCCATTTTTATAATTAAACTTAAACTCATGGTAACTTAAATCTATTGATATTTTAAACAATCCAATTCATTTTCCAACCCTCAGTTACTGATGTATAAACAAGCTAACGAAACCTATATCTAACCTAAAAACCTTCGACAGCTTTTTCCCTGACACGCTGTAAAAGTATATTAACACAAAGGTATCGGTCATGGTCAATGCAGAGTGAAAGGTAATCCAATTTCATTACTATCATTACCAGAATCGCAATATACTGATGCAACTGAGACGCATGTGGCAGTGAAAAACGTTACATTTAGTCTAAAAAATCGCGTCATCAAACTGATCGCGTGTCTCGGCGAACGCTGGAAAAGACGTAAAAATAGTCCGTACGGTTGCAGAAAAGGGAGAAGGGATAATTGAAAAAAACGTCTGTGTGGCTGCGAACGTGTACAACGGAGGAATTAAATGGATCAAGTCAGTCAAATAGGTTCATACAATCAGCCCCCACTCATTTTACAACGTTGCAATCTAGAAATCGAGGTTAACCTTGTACCAGCGGTCCGTCTTAGCTTTGTACATACAACGTCCGTATTGCTTCTTTAATAATTAATTGCGTCTAAGACATGGTCAGGAATTCACACAGCTTTACGAAAAAAAGCTTTGTATATTTTGAAAATCGGTACCTTGGTGGTGGAGCTACGGACCAAAGTATAAATAAAATAAGAATCGGTCAAACCCCGTTTTTGAGCGTTTCATAGGCTACTGATCGTTTTTAGAAATTAGTCTCTGGTATTCAAATCTGTTCGCTGTGACATCTTATTCATTATTTAGTTTTTACAATCTTGTTAATAATGGTGAATTATTCAAATGCAAAAATGGCGGAAATGCATTACGTATATGGTCTTGCCGACGGTAATGGTGAGCAAGCCAGACGGATTTATCACCAGCGATATCCCGATCGTGCCAGACAGTCGAACATTTTCTAATATTCATCGTCGTCTTGTTGAAACTGGTTCTGTCCGAAAAGGAACATCTGAAGGTAGACCTCTAAGTGTAGGTTCACAAGAAATTGAGGAAGCAGTGCTGCACGAAGTCGAAGAACATCCTGAAACGAGTACGAGGACGATCGCTAGACACTTAAATATTTGCCATCAAATTGTTTGCGAGTACGCAATTCCATGAGAAGGAGGACGGAACCATGCATACATACTAAGCAACAATTAATTTGTAATCATTTCGTTGGTTTTAATGTTATGTTTATGTTGTCAGTTGTTGTTGTTCATTACCCCTAATGTGTTTAATTTTTCCAATTAAATTAATAATAATTTTGCAAGTTAGACAATAATAATAATTTTTATTGGAATGTCTATACATAAAAATATAAAAACGAAAGGAAAGAGGATTGGCAGGGCTATTTTTCACCTCCCCCTAAAAAGTTAATTTCATGAGCGTTTTTTAACATCAACAGAATGATTAGTATTCACAACAAATATTATGCACAACACAGTGTAGCAAGCGCCATAAATTTAATTTGTGGATTCAAATCTTTGCAGCTGTAGTAGCACTTTTTTCATCTCATTTCTGAAGTTTGGGATGGAAGGTGCTTCAAAAAGTTCTAAATGATCGTTTAGTAGATATGGTGCCGTGTAAGTAACACATTTTTTGAATTTAGATGTTGTATGAACTGGAATATTGAAGTATTCATTGTTGCGTAAGGAAACTTGGCGGAGTGAACATCTCTTCTCCAAAGCAATATACAGATATCTGTGTAATTTATATTTGAAAACTTTATACAGTAGAGTTCCAAACTGAAGTAATACACGATACTTGAAAAGAATATATAAAAAATAGAACGGTTTGTTTGTTGTAAAAACTAAATAATGAAAATGAAAAACTCCGAGTTTTTGTAAGGAAACATTTTTGGACCATAGTCTATGAAGCAAACTAACATTAATTTTTCATGTAGATTGACACCCTTAAATATTCGGATATCATTAACGAACATCCTGTATATGTTGTACGACCCCCGTATTCTACCAGGTTCGGCATCCCGAAGGTAGGCAGTTCTGATCCAAGGAACCGGGAGGCTACCAGAGGTGCGAGATTGCAGGGGGGCAGTGACCCCAGGAAACCGAGTGCGACGTGCGACAGCAGGATGCGGTGTGGTATGGCAGCATGGAGCACTTTTGCCGGATTTCCGCTTATGGATAGCAAGAGAGGGTGTCGCCGAACCCTCTTCCATCTTATATCTTATCCAGGTTTCTCCTGGGTGTGCACCGTTATAGGCCGCTACACAGACTGATGTTTCGTTTTAGACAGAGATCGGCAATTGATTATGCAGGCCTGTGATGGTTTTCCCTTGAAAAATGGCGTCAAGTAGATTGACTAAATACTTCCTACGCATTCTCCCTATGTATTGTTGTTAATAGTAGAGTTTTTCCAAATTCTCATTCTGATAAGATCGAAAAAAATAGCCACATGTATATCAACGGTCAATACTACTAATATAACTTACGAGCTGCAGTATCTTTCTCGTCACATGGAACATACCTGAAACAAAACAAAATATTAAGTAGTCTGCCACTGCGCTTCCCACGCAACGTTTTTATCAGTTCGTAAAAGATTATGTTCGATACAAGTTAGCTAAGAACATGTGCAACAAACGAATTAAATAAATCAAGCCATTTAACCAACCACACCTAGAGGAGCTTGTTGACTAGTTAAATTTTGTGTGACGTGTGATAACACTTTACAAAGAAGCGCCATCTATGGGATGGTAGCCCAACTGGACGAATTTTTTTTGTCTAGTTGAAAATGCACAGAATTAGCTTAAAATCATTTAAGAGAGGGATACGGATGGATATATTTTTTTATTCGTCTACTGTCCAATAGATGGCACTGCATATCGGTAACCACCACAATGTCGACCATTTTGAATCACTAACTTGGGCTGCTGAAATCCCTTCATACCAACGCATGCAAGGAGGAGGTCGCTTTGTCTTTCAACAAACCCAAATCAATACGTAATATTACATAGAATGAACCAATCCAAACAAAATAATCTTTTCATCAAAAAATGGGGGGATTTTTAACCTCTGTCACGGCAATTTAAGTTTCTTGTTCTTTGAAGATGCATTGCCATAGAAAACAACCCAAATTCCGACCAACCACCCCTAGAGGACCTTTTTGACTAGTTAAATTTTCTGTGGCGTGTGATAACACTTTACACAGAAGCGCCATCTATGAGATGGTAGCCCAACTGAACGAAATTTATTTGACTAGTTGAAAATGCAAAGAATTAGCTTAGAATCATTTAAGAGATGTATACGGATGAATATAATGAATATATGCAAGCGCGAGGACGCTTTGTTTTTCAACAAAGCCAAATCAATACGTAATATTAGATATAATAAACTAATCCAAACAAAATAATCTTTTCATCATCTTTGTAAATGCGTTGCCATATCGCCGGACGAGCAGTAAGGAAACCGAAACCTGTCTGTTTTCAAAATGAATATTTAATTAAAGTGTTTGAAGAGAGTTCATGAGTTCGGGCGTATAACAGACAAATATTCACAATCCTATAAGCTAGAATCGATAGAGCAGTTTCCAGGATGGTTGAAAAAGCGACCAGTATGCACATTGTACAAGTTGTAATAAAAAAAATATGTGCTCAATACAATAATACACTTTTTTCATAAGGACTGATCCCCTACAACACTATTTACCGATTCCGTTATTTTTTTCACACTGCAGAAAACTTCAAAATCAATTAAGATTCCAGACGTGTTCCAGATCAAAAAAAAAATGAAATATAACAAGAAGTTTTGCAAATGTTTTCGTAAATAGGTATTTTTGATTCTGATTTATAGTATCTAGACGATGACTAATAGGTGAATGTGGATACATTTACATATATCGATGTTTTAGAACCTAGGAATGCAGAATGCGCTGTTTGTTTACATCTGGTGTGAGTGTTTTCGATGCAACAAAAGATGATGAACCAGTAGGAATACGTGTTCCCCATTGATCGGTCTTGGCTCCGACACTGTTTCTCTTACACATCAACGACCTCCTATCCTGCACGATCAACCCAATGCGCAGCTTCGCTGATGACAGCACTCTACATGCGGTAATTCAGAGTGGCAGGCCGATCTCTGCCGCTGAGCTGGAAAAAAGAAGGCTAGCGACGACATCCTCTCTGACAAGAGACCTGGAGGCAACAATCTTGTACAGTCCAATGCTTCCAAAACACAGTACTGTACTTTGACGAACAAAAAGCGTCCTAGCGGTCATCCGGTTTCGAGGAATGGCCGAGTTCTGTCAAAGAGCCATTCATTTCGACTAGTCGGAGTCCAGATCACCGAGGACCTGACCTGGCACGAACACATCTCGTCAATAGCTGCAGCTGCTCGGAAACAGCTAGGCTATTTGTTTAGGGCTAAGAAGTACTTTTCTCCGCATGACCTTATCAAACTATACAAGGCCCACATAAGGCCTAGCCTTTTATTCAATATTTCAATAGAAATTACGGAAATTAGGAGAGCTTGGAAGCTTCCGTCAAATTGCGCTTCAATAAGCTGTTCACTAATTGGTCGAAGACTCCGTTAAAATTTAATGTTAGTGAAATCCTCCCCTAATATATTTTTTAAATACGAGTCCAAACTACCACCTCTGACAATTTAACAGAAAAATAATTTTTATAAAGGTCATCTAGAATGAGGTTATTATAGGATGTGGAAAATGGTGCAAAACGGAAAGTCGTATACCTCAACCACTAACTTAAACGTAAAAATACAACGATAATTTCGGCAGTTCCGTTAGTTACGGATGTGGTTAAGTTGGCATGGCGGGCCGTTTTTTCTTATCAAAAATCGCGATGCATAAAATTCGCAATCAGACCATAGTGGCCTTCAAAACGTATAAGAAAAGATAGGATAGCAAAAATTTTCTATCATTCAGTCATCAACGCAGTCTTTGAGAGTTGGGCAGTGAACGCTTCTATGGATATTGATTAACGTACTTTACCTGAAAATAGCCGACCATATAATGTATTTCGGCGTCCACAAGGGATCTGAAAGATACTAACGCCATGTATGAGAATATCAACAATAGATTTAGCGCCAATTTCACCAACATTAATATTTAACGGTCCCTTGGACCAATGGGAAAATACCTTATCGGAATGCAATTTGACGGACGCTGTCAAAGCACTCTGAATATCAGTGTTTTCTATTGAAATGTTGAATAATGTCGTGAAAAAACCGTTTCCTTATAAATAAGGGTACATTATAGATGTACTATTATGTCTTTGTGCTTTAGAATTAGGATAACTTTCAAAGCATTTCAAATTTTTATCATTTCAGAAAAGACGGTCAGTTATTTAAATGGATCAATGAAAATGAGAGAAATAATAGGGCGATTTTCTAGCTATTATATTTGGTAGGATGTTTTCACTGTTTTTGACGACTGTTGATGCATGGCAATCTAGATTTGTCTGTATATCACGAACAGGGTGTTGTACATAATACGTACCTGAAGAAATGTACCGATTTTTGTTATTTTGCAAAAAAAAAGGATATAAAACGGATTCCAAAAACAATTTTTGCCAATATTTAATCTACAAATCTACACCAAATGTAAACAAAGAGCACATTCTGCATTTCTGGGTCCTGAAACATCGATATTTGTTTGATACGTTGACAAGAACGACAGGCTATCAAGATTAGGGATGTTTAGATCCACGAAAAGTATCATTATGTATCGATTCTTATCGTTTAAGGAAGTATCGATACTCTAAAATGTTGGAATAAAATTATCGATATCCAGCGGAAGGAAACAAAGAAGAAAAGTAATCTGAAGTTAGTCACTCTTTCTGACACAGTCCGGATCGAAAGATGACGATACTCGTGAAATGTATCGATACACCCAAGTGTCGTATATAAAAATATCGATCCAAAATATAGGGTATGGAAGCAAAAGTATCGATACTTCTAAATATAGGATCGTATCGAACATCCCTACTGTGAAGATGTATAACCTGAGGTACCGACGGAGCTATTTTGCGGCGTCATGGAAATAATTTTAAATTTTCATTTGAATTTTTTCAAATGTTTGGGGAAAATTCCACCTCTAAATCGTCGATTTCGGCCTTCTTGGAACCACGTCTCATTACAGTAGCTTCGTTTCGATTCCCCCGATTGGTCAGTGAAATCAGCGCGTCTGCAAACTCTAGGCATGATAATCCAAAGAAACAACAATGCAACAAATAGAACCTACACAGAAAAATCACCGAATACTAAGTAAATATGTTCCTATTGTTCGGGCCTTGATATGACAAAAAAGCCTTTACATAAAAGTACAGCTCTAAAGGCCTTCAACATTTTATCAGCGTATTCTTCCATGATAGCAAATGTATTACAAGTTTACATCAAAACTCAATAAATATATCTGGGTGTCGCTGAGCATAGTTGTTTTGCTTTCGTTGATCGTTCCACCTGCACTGTGCTGATGAGTTCTGATAAGGATGACACCGCGCCCTACACGGTTCGTAGGATGAACACTTGGGATTAACAGTAAAGTACGACTCGTGAAAGCCCGATAGCAAAAAAGCTGGCACGCCAATGGTTTCGGGAGTAGGGGGCATGGAGGGGCCAGGGGGAGGAAACGACGTCGTCGTCGTCGGGAAAGCGTCGCGGCGACGGGACGTGCGGTGAGGACGGGTGCGATTCACTTGCTTTGCGTTTTCAACCAGCCAGATTTCGGATCTACCAGATGTCAACCGGCCTTGGGGAGTCTGGGGATCTTTCCCATTTACTCTTACCGATGATAGATACGTAGAAAACTATTGCGCTGACACATATCGATTCTGTAAGCCACATGTACTATTTTCTACTTGACAGATTTAGAACGTGGTGATCGAGCAGAAATGTGAAAGAGAGCATTAGGTTCAAACCCCGGCATGGAGTTTTCCCAGTACTAGATCATATTTAAGTATCAGGAACATTCAATCGATTCTGTAAGCAACATTAACTATGTTCAACTTGACAGCTTTAGAATGGATACATTGAGAACCAAGAGAGATAAGACGGGATGTGAAAGTATTGGGTTCAAAGTACCTTACGGAGTTTTACCAGGATTGTTTTTCGGTGGCAGCCTCAGAATCAATAGTCCTGAATAAGTTTCAATCATACGCAAAGAGGAGTTTATTACAAGTTACTTGCGCAATATCATCAATAAATAAGGTAAACAATAAAGGACCAAGGTTTGAACCCTGAGGCACTCCCGATTTAGTTACATACTGGTACGACTTGAAGCCAATGAAAGTAACATATCCCTTTCATAAATATAACTTTGACTGCTGATGAATGGAAGCCATAATGAGAAAGCTTATTTAAAAGTATGTCATGGTCCATCCTATCGGAATAAGGCCCTATAATATCGAAATAAGACGACTGCGAACAGTAAATAGCAGCCACCAATTGGGACTGTAAAGATCACAGTCCGCATTGATGGCCCTGTTCGTTGTCCCAGAGACGAGAGACTAAGCC